AAAAATACTTGAATAACAGGGATTTGAAAAGAATGTGCTGAAGGGACAAGTAGGATCGATATCTGATAGAGCCCATGATCTGATAGAGCCATGTAACTCCTAGTATTCTAATCTTAACGACAGTTTCTAAGTAAAATGATTTTTAAAACTGACTGTAACGCCTAGTATTCTACACATTGAACTTAGAAAAAACTTTTTTTAAAACTACCTAATGCTTACTCAATTTGGAATAGAAAATTGAAGAAAATATACAGACTATTTCCCATATATGTCATTATAAAACTGGGTGTGTGAAAAACTGCAGCTATTCAAGGTCTAACAATGTCCTTGCGATGGAACATTAGCTTTTCTCCTACCACAGATTATAGAAAGCCACAATTCTTTTCTTACTGTTCACTGTCATGGGGAAATATACTCAGTGTATATGATTTTGGGTATACTGGGGACATAAATACACTTACGGGTTAATAATTATACTGATGAGCAGTATTTCAATATCCATGTAAAACTTTTAAGAGAACAAAAGAGAAGCTATCCAAGTCATACATAATGGATATATTTTATATGAGAAAATGAATGAACTACATGCTGTCTGTGATCTAATATAATTGATTTTACTACCCAATTTTTGATTTGTATGGGACCAGATGAAATTGCAATTCTAAATTAACAGAGGGAGAGAACATTCATCTATAATAAGTGCTCACTTTCAATATCTGGATTTGGAAGATTGCCTAGTACAGGTGGAACACTGAAGCCACCAATTACAGAACTGCTTTCAGTATGAAGCCTAAGGACACACTCCTCAAACTGCTAACAGCTGTGATAAATATAATTGTCTTTCAGTCTGTGATTTATTTTAAGGCAAGTTTTCAGAAACCAGAAATTTGGTTTAATTTAGATGAATCCAAAACAAACAGAAAAAGAAATATTCCATGAAAACAAATGCTAAACAAAAGATCAGCTAAAGCAGTTTAATAAATGATAGGAAATAGTTCTATATACTACCATTTGCAAAGGAGATTTGAACAGGTGACTCCAAAGAAAAAGTATTTTAATTTTCTAACTTAACTTTCTATTGCTTAAATCAGAGGAAGAGAATCTGCATACTTTCAATTGTTCTTAAATTATAACTCGCATTATTTGTCATTACAGATAGCCCTCACCTAACTATCACAACTGGGACTGACAATTCTTGTTAAGTGATGTGGTTGTTAAGCAAAACATCATGTGATTGTGCTCGACTCACATCAGTTCTACTATGGTCATTAAGCAAATCACCCATGGTTATTACGTGAGATTCTATATGATCATGATTTGCAATTTTATTGCCAGTTCTCCATTGACTTGGCTTGATGAAAGTCAGCTGTGAACTTGCAAATGATTATCACATTTCTGTGAGAATCCTGCAATGGTCAAATATGCATGCTGGTTGCAAAGCACTGAAATGGCATTTATGTGACTGCAGCAACATGCCGTTAACTGAGAACTACCTGTGTAGCTAATATTGGTCTTATTATTTTTGAGGTGCAGGAGGCGGCGAGCATGGTCAGCTTATGGCTGCTGATGTGTTGCAATATTTTCAGGACGGGCTTATTTTGGGGGGAGGGCTTATGCTCAGAAGCCAGATTGGGCTTATTATCCGGGGAGGTCTTATTTTCAGGGAAACAGGGTACCTTTGTCTTTATCTGGTCCAATATTAAAGGAGGTTTTCCATCTTCCACTAAATCAGGCCTTGCTATATACACTGCTCAAAAAAATAAAGGGAACACTTAAACAACACAATGTAACTCCAAGTCAATCACACTTCTGTGAAATCAAACTGTCCACTTAGGTAGCAACACTGATTGACAATCAATTTCACATGCTGTTGTGCACATGTAAAGCATAGGCAGTTAGCAAGACATCCCCAATAAAGGAGTGGTTCTGAAGGTGGTGACCACCGACCACTTCTCAGTTCCTATGCTTTCTGGCTGATCTGGTCACTTTTGAATGCTGGCAGTGATTTCACTCTAGTGGTAGCATGAGACGGAGTCTACAACCCACACAAGTGGCTCAGGTAG